CCCCGCACTCACACTCTGTCTCTCTCTTTCTCTTAAAAAAAGAAAAATAGAAAAAATAATAGCATAATTGTATGCTATGCTGAAGAAACTAGTGTATTTGTGTATACATATCTATATATTTTTATAAATAGATATACATATATATGTTTATTAAAATAGCTATAACTGCTTTAAAATATTAGAGGATTATCACAGAGCTCTGGATTTTCATTGTTGTTTATATTGAACACCTGACCATTTTTCATTTGCCGTCATTAACCAAGTATAGCTTTTGACCTTAAAAGGGTAGCATTTACATAGGAAAGCTCATCTTACCAGGATACCATGATGATATTCCCCTAAAGGAATAATACATATTGCAAATTACTAGAAAAAGGTCATTATTGTATTAAGTAAAATACTGTGTTTTTTTTTCAAAAATTCAGATAGGTATTAGCTTCTGAATGAGAATACTTAAAAATTATATTTTTCAAGCTTTTCCTAATCTACATAAATATAAGACTGCTTTAGAGCCCATTAAAAATTGGAAGTTTTATTTGCTAGAGTTTAACAATTTTGCGTATTTTTAGGTCTGCATATGTAAGGCATTCAAGATCAGCCTAGTGAGTTACAAGCAAAGAATCAGAATCTTTTCGAAAAAATCTAACAGATCATTCATTTTTAAAAAGGTTTTGAAACCTTTTCTTAAAGTATTATTATAATAAAATCTCACTGCTATAGTAATGAGAGACAAGCATCACAAATCATGGCATTATGTAGCAGTAAAATAAAAATATGGGCAACTGTGATATTATCTAATATTACTTTCTCATTTCTAATAAATATTCTGTAATCATTACATGGAACCTTACATCTAAATTTCTATGTTTAAGGTTTTTGTTGTTGTTGTTAGTTTGGCGATTTTGCATGTAATCAGTGTAAGAATAAGAGGATTCAACTTTCTTATTTATATATGCAGTAAATATTTCATAGCTTTCTCAATAACAATACACTCAAAAGTCTTCATAGTTGAATAACAAATTTCCAAATTGCATAAAAATGTAGAGTATTGTGCTTAAGAAAAAA